AAATGTCTTGCCCAAGGACACAACGACCGAGACTGTCCGAACCCGGTGTTCACTGCCAGACAGCGACCAAAGCATTAAATAACAAAATGTTTCAAGTGAGAAGTTTGGACTTATTTTTGTAAGAGAAATCTTGGATTTATTATGTCACAATGAGTAAAATACCGAAAAACAGTACCAAAGCCCAGGTACAGGTATCTGTATCTATTCAAATGTGAAAGGTAACCAAGGCTTGTTGTTCCAATAAACAAAAACAAAAAAAATCCCATACAGATGGCACCATATGCCTAAAGGAATAAACAAAGCACAGCAAAAACAGGTTTTAGCTAGTTTCATTTAGCCATATCTCATCTTCTATTTTGAGAATATGCAAATCATTAAAGCAGTCTATGGAAAAAAAAACTGTTGGTGATTCATCACAGTGTGAAGAACTGTGTGGACAAATACTTCCAACAATTTAATGTATCTTCATTTTCATTCCCAACCCATCAATTCACTGCATGGGCTCAAATGAGTCCACTAACCAGTGCTGTGCTGGTGTCCCTGCATCCATAAATCCAGAAAAAAACATATTCTAAACATTTATTCACAGCTGCTGCCCATCTTATAAAAGGCACCATTAACACTAACATATGCTACTATCAAGACAATGTCTTTTTTTTAAATGAAGGCCACTTTGCCAGCACACTACCAAATTGCATGCATCCATCTGCAGAGAGCCTGGCAGCTAAACTGACCTGCCTGCATTCTGACAGGGCTGTCACCCACAGAGGCGTCCGTTGTTGTGTTTTTCTATTCACAATGTGCCAAATGTTCAGACTGCTGAGCAGCTGAAATCCTATATCAAGCAAGCACAGAAAAAGATTGTGCTTTCAGAACTACAGCAACTGGTCTCCATGGTTCCCTCGCGCCTGCTTAAAGGTGACGTAAACCAGCGGGAAGCATGCCGGTGTACCTACATTTGTCTTTAAACGCTTTGCTTTTGCTGGCATCGAATTGAAAATAAGAAAGAAAACTTTCAACATTTGAAATGTTTTCTTTGCATCATTTTCATGTCAATGCAGGATTTGAATGATTTGCAAATTCTGATTTTTCAAATATATATTTTACAGAGTCCTAACTTTCATTCAAACGCAAACCTAATGGGAACAAACCATCTGTCCTTGCATCTCTATCCCGAACCCTCATCTCAAGTGTTTAGTTTAAATGAGCTCTGCATACCTTTGTGTCCTCTCCCATTGGACTGTCAGGTTCTGAGTCACTGCCACAGTGAGAGAAGGACGTTGGGGAACCCACGTCAGAGGCTGGCGGGGTGGGCAGCTCGCTCTTCACATCAGCCTGTCCATCCACCTCCATGGCAACCAGGTCCTTAAGAGACTCTGTAGAAAAGGGGTTTAAAAAAAAAAAAAGATGATGAAGTAAGTAGAGGGAGGGTCAATCAAGGGTACAAAAGAAAAGAAAACCCTACAATACACTTTATTTCATTTCATTTTATATTTGTCTTTTCAGGATTAAAAAAAACAAAAACAAAAAAAAAACAGCAGTCATTGTTGTTAAAGGTTACCAGAATGATTGACTTTCAAGAAATTGAAATAAAATGCCAAGAGGCTGTTGACGAATAAAGAAAAGGGACCATTTTAAGCACATACTGTTTTTCTGGGCTGCCATTTTAAGAGCCATGTTCTCTTGTTTGAGCTTCTGGTTAGTCTGCTGCAGGTAACGGATGTAATCGATGGCTTTTCTCAGTACTGCAGATTTATTGAGCTAGAAATGAAAGAAAAAGACCAACTGAATTATTAGACCTCTGCTGTTCATGAAAAAGACAACTGGACAAAAAAAAAAGAAAGAATATGGCATAAAAAGTGTGGGATGCTTGTAAATACGTGCTTCTTACCTTAGCATCAGTGCCCGCCACCAAGTCTTTCAGCTCCATGATTTTGTCATTGATGGAGGAGCGGTACCGCTTCTCAATAGCGTTGTGGGCCGTGCGCTTCTCCCCTTTGTGTGGCTGGCCAACCGGCTTACCACTGATAGCGATGCGGTTGATGGGAAGCTTTTCAGCATCCACCATGACAGGCACTGTAGTCAGGAAAGTACCACCACCCATGAATGCCTGAGAAAACAGGATGATGTAAGTGCCAGGGTTAACATCGTGGGTGTAAACTCGACAGCGGTGCACTGTGTGACTTCAGTATTAGGTTTGAGTTCATATTGTGCATCTACCTGCAGCGAAGTGCTCTGTGCTGGGGTGGTGGTGGCCAGGGACGTGGGAGAAGCTACAGTAGTGACCATGCAGGGGTCGGGCTTCAAAGTGGTCAGCAGTAGACTCTCGGCCTTGATGAACTGGGGCTGAAGCAACACCTGAGGACACCAGGGCAGATAGATGCAGCGAAAATTCATTTACGTAAACGAGGACTGCAGTGCATTCGTTTTTCAGTCCATCCAGGCTCGCTCAGAGAGCACCTTCACACACTTACGGGTACTTGCTGTACGTGGGCTGCGACAGTTTGAACTGGAGGGCTTGTTGACGTGGTCAGGAGAGGAGATGCAGTTGTCAGCCCTTGGAGCTGAGCCTGAATGGCCACTGGCTGAATGCTCGGCGGTGAGGATGACAAACTGGTGGCAGGAGTGCTCACACTGCTGGGACTGCCAGCTAAAAAAAAAAAAACAAAACACATTGATGCCAAAAAGACTTATTCAGACTTAAACCACGCAGGTGAAATTTGAAGAAAAATCCGAGCAATTCCGACTTGAAATTAACATTTTTATATGTTAAGTATTTGGTGGTTTGTGTTAAAATTTCCGTGATCATTTAACAGTTTAGTAGCACACTACCCATTTCAACATTTAAGCTTCCAAAAGAACCGCCAGCTTTAAAAGTAAAAAACACCTGAACTCTTAATTTCATCAAAACTGCATTCGTTTTAAGACTTTGTAGGCAAAAGGTGAACTATGGACTCATTATAAATGCGATATTCTCCAAATGATATGGCCGCTACTTTCGCTTATCTCCACCAAGCTTTAAGAGATATGGATAAAGATATGCACATGCAGTGGACTGTCTACTGTGTACGCACCAATGTTCCACGTCTTGTCCACACACACAAATTTCATTTCACTCGCGGACTCTTACGCAGCTGAGCAAAGTCTATTAGATTACGACATTAATTAGAAATCATCCGAGGTTAAATAACCTAGTGTCCTGATAAATGCACGTGAACAGCAAACTTGCAGGGCACTGGGTATCAGCTGCTAGATTCCATGGTTAACACAAATGTGCTTTATGTAAACCACTAAAAACATCCTCGGCATTTAACAGAAATATAAATAGAAACTTGGAGTTTTTTTCCCCTCACAGATGACAATTTGTCATTCTCCCCTTTTTTTCCTTTAGAGAAAAATAACGCTGGTAAATGAGGTTATGTATCTCTATGAGATTCCATTTGTTTGTATTTGAAAAGTCGGTAAAACAGCAGTGCATGTATTGTTGAAAAGAAGTCTAACGACTGAAAGGTTAGCATCACATATTTTAATCAAATCACAATTGACAAAAATTAGATATTAACATTTTCCTTAATAACCCATTTTTTCCCCTCACTAAATACCTGACACAAGAGGTTTGTCATTTTCACTGTGCAAAAAAGGTTCAAAAACCTTGAACTTTAACTGTAAATTACAGAACAAAATAAACTGGTTAAGCCAGGTTAATGAAAGTTGTAAAAAGTTAAAGACAGCAGGAAGCTTGCTGTTGAGACCATTTTGTTCGGCGATGCAGACAGAATTAGATTAGAACGATCCAACATCAGACATGCAAAGTCAAGGAACTTGTCTCTATATGAAGAAACACACTACAATAACATCACAGTTTTATTTTCATCCTTTCCTTTAAAGGTTTTGTTTTTAAAGCACAGTTTGATACCCCCTACCATCTAACTCGCACACAATCTATGACTCAATCATCACCATCAGAGAGGGCTTACCTGTGTAGCTGTTTGGGCTGCTGTAGTTGGTGCGGGCCTGAGGCTGTGTCTGTGTCTGTGGTGGAGTCTGGGGTGCAGGAGAGGTGAAGAGCGCCTGAGGCGTTGAGCTGAATGCTGGGTTTGGTCCTGGGGAGCCATTAGGTGAAGCTGCCTGGGAAGGAGCAGACGGGCTGAGAACTGGTTGGGGTTGCTCCACTTGGGTCTGTCTGATGCTTTGAGCTTGTTGTGGGGAGGACGGCTGCTGCCTCTGGGTGGAGCTGGGTACCTGGGCCAGGGGAGACTGCTGGAAGGTGGGAGGCTGGAAGGCTTTGTCTGGGGTGGACGAGCTACGAGTAATAGGAGGGCCCAGCAGTGCATCCAGATGGGGGTTACTGCTTAGGATGGAAGATGAAGATGGAGGTGTGGTAGTGGTGGTTGGGGGAGAGGCTGAGGTGATGGTCTGAGTCAAACCATGAATCTCTTGCATGGGAGGAGCCGTGGTGTATGGAGGGGCATCAAAGAGTCCTCCAAACTCCATGTCCTGGTTGTTGATGAGCTGGAGCATGTCTAAACAGGAAGACAAATCACAGCCACTGTGAATGTTATTGTTCAAGTAGTAAATTTATAGCAATTTGCCAGCTTTAAACAATTAAATATGGACCAAGATCAAATCTATAGGAACTGTAATTTTCTCGAGAAAACTTGTTTAGAGATTGAATTACTATCCATTTCAGTAGCAAACTGCACTTTAATTACCAATGAATCAACCCACATGTAAACTGTGTTTATGATCAAACATCACTGGCAACAATTTCAGTCATGCTAAAGAAAATAAAAATGCAAGTAACCATATATCTAAGTATTATTCTTAATATATAATTGCAGTGTAGAGTGGGAATGCATAAAAATGGATAAGGCCAATGTGATGCTCAAATAGAAAGGAGCAAACTCTTGAAGTGTGTGTTGGTATTGGTAAAAGCTAAATGGCAACAAACAAAGTTGCGTTAAAAAGAAGGTTTTAACGGGGCTTTATGCAGTCCTGTAAAAAACTTTTTTTTTTAAAAATACGTTTAACTAATGAGTCATCATATTATCAAACCAACTTTAGCAGCAATAATAACTTGAAGTAACTCCCACATTGCTGTGGTGGAATTTTGGCCCACTCTTCTTAACAGCGTTTGCTTTAGTTCAGACCTTTGCAGGCATTCGTTCATGCACAGCTCTTTGAACCCTCTCAGGCTCAAATTAAACTTTTTGTTGCTAATGCACAACCAAGTCCTGCAGTGGTACTTCTGAGTAAAAAAAAAAAAAAACTCATAAAATATGTATGTGGGGTAATCAGGCTGTTAGTTTTTAACTGTTGCAAATCGGCAACGCCTGCCTGGAGAGGGTTAAAGTGTCCCCACGGCATTTTCTTACCGCGTTGATGTCTGGACCTCAACTGGGTCATTGCAACACCTTGACTGTTTCCTTTTTCAGCCACTATCTTGTATATTTGCTGCTGTGCTTGGGAGCATTGTCCTGTTGCATGACACAATTTCGGCCAAGCATCAGCTATAGGACAGATGGCCTCATACTTAACTCTAGAATACTTTGAAATACGGAAGAGTTCATGGTCAACTCAATCAATGCAGGGTTCCCGAGTCCTGTGGCCGCAAAAACAACCCCCAAGTCATCACCATTCCATCGCTATGCTTAACAGTTGATATTAGGTGTTTATACAGATATGCTGTGTGATGTTGTGCATTATGAATTATTGCTTTAAAAGTGTTCTGGTTTGTTTAGCTGCAACTTTGCTCCTGCATGTGCTTTTTAAAATTGAACCCATATTTGTGTTCAGTCTCTTTCTAACTTTACTGTCATTAATGTTAACATTTAATATGCTGTAGATTATGTAGCTCATGTGTTTTTTTGAGGTTTCTCTGACCATGAGGTGAATTTGGGACTTCCACAAACCCATGTACTGCGAACCAGAAAAACTTCTGCTTTTATAGAGTCCATTCTTTTTCACATGACTGTAAATGTAGTACATCACATGTACTTATGACTACAGTGGTTTAAATTTGCTAAAAACTAAATTTTGTTTTGTTTCATTACATTTTCCATTAACACTCAAAAAATTACTAGAAAACTACTTTAAAACATCCTAAGCAGGAGATAGGGTGTCTTACGCAGTTTAAAAAACACACTTTACAAGAAAGACTGCCTCTTGTTGCGTTAGAAAACACAGCAAGAAATACTGGGTACAGGTTTACAGTACATTTCACACTTTAAGTTTATCAAGCCATTCATCATGTGCGTGCAGCTGTAGGTCCAAGAACCTAAGAGGTATATTATTATTAATGAGTTATTAATCTTAATTTGTGCTCGTGCACATATGGACTTGTAGGTTTTCATTAGCATGATCTAAGATATAAAACATTTTAATATGTATCTTTTCCAGAAGATTTGCTAATTACAAAGATTTAAAACTGACAAAAAAAACTTTACATGAAAAAAAGTGAGATGGCACGTGTTCACTAATCATTTTTTTTATTCTAGGAAGCAGTGTGCTCTTGAAAGACATAAGACACTGAAATAATTTTCACAGCATTTTTTTACAAGGACAGTTGACCGCGTTTAATTTCTCTGTTAAGTGATTCTGAGTTCATGTTGTGTCTGCAGTACAAAAAAAGAAAAAACGAGCAGCCTGGATTTGTGAAGCAGTGTTGTGTATGAGGTGATCGCTCTTGGCCAATCAGAGCGCATCTCGGAGACTTGCTATGCCGATCAGCCCAAGACAGGAAAAGAGAGGGAGAGCTGCCTGTGGCAATGAGTGTGAGGTTACCATCGAGCAGTGTCACAGAGGGTTACTGTCGGTCAAAGTCAGGGAGATGGAGAGCCAGGCCGCAGGATATGAACACTGTTTACGCACTGCGTGTTATCTTATTTACACGTCGCCCCCTATCATAAAACACATACTGGCCAATTTAGGAAGACTGACAGAAAACTCTAAATCTTAACAATACTCGAAATACTCTTGTGATTTCGATGGAAGGCTTAAATTGTTGCACGAATTTTAAATATGAATCATTGTATATATGCTGTTTGTTTTTTGCAAAAACGGGCACGTGGATAGCACTATATTCGCAAGAAAACAAATAAAGTCGTCCAAAGAGCACATGGCTAGATTAGTTTTCGGCCGATTAATTTGGCATACATAAATGCATTATATTTGTCAAATCGGTCAAGTGAGGCTCTGTGAACCCAAAAAGAGAGGAATGAACGACAGTAACCCCGGTCTATGGAGCACGCTGGGGGCGGGGCGCACACGAAGCTAGCTGTACGTTGGTGTCACATATTCGCCTCACGAAATGCGCTTCTATTTTTCTATTGCACAGAAAGACACACAGACGACTTCTGATATTGCAAGAATCATCGTTATAAATTAATAACAAAACATCCCAAATATCACTTCCGGCTAGCCTCCATATACTTGCTCACTGATAGTTAGCATGTAGCTAACAGTGGATGATGAAAGCTAGCTCTAAGCTTTTAAAAGCTTTATTTTTTTAAAGGTGTCTTTGTATTGAATGTCGTTGTAAGTGATGTTGTTAGTGTGATTATTACATGCAGAACAGTTAAAGAATTGATATGAAAAGGAATGATAACACGTACGGTGTTACCGGTTTTAGCAACTGTTTTAAGCCAGCAGCAACCATTATATTTTCTTACCATCAATGTCGCTTAGGAGGGCCGTATCAATATCACTGGGGTCGTTAAGCGACAGTGTTGGATCCAGATTATCCAACGAATGATCGTCAAAAGACAGGCTGTTCATCTTTACTGTCGTGTCTGGGCTTTCCAGTGTAGACTTGACTGACTGTCGGAGAAATCGGAAACTTCTGAGTCCTTACATTTGACAAAAGGACCAAGATCCCTGTCCTTTCGTCACATGCGCAACGCGAGCTGCAACTTTTCTTATTTTTTTTAAACTTTTGTGTCAACTAACTGCTCACTACTAGCCCCATCATCATCCTGGGAAACTTGTCAAACCAAGCCAAACACCGACGCTCATTCACTACTAACGTGCTTACAGCGGTAGCCGGAGAAACCCATCCAACCGATGATGATTGACAGTTGCGCCAGCCAATCACCCTCCTTTGAACTAGATTCCCACGTCCCTGTTTCTCAGGCTTGTTTTGATTGTTTGAGTAAATGAGTAAGGGCATGTGGTGTATACGGCCACGATCTAACACAATTTACACACAAAAATCAGATAATGTACAAAAAACAACAAATAATTGCAGTAATCGAAGAAGTGATGCCGTGGCTAGAAAATATTTATATGGTTACATTCGATGGGTATGTAAAAAAAGCTAACTACAGCATAAACGAGGTAAGTTCTGATTCCAGAGCAGGTTAATACAGTTCTGAATATCTTTTATAATATTGATTATAAATAATTTTATATTTTTTCCTCTTTGTATCAAGCATGGACATGTTTATTGTGGGCTTGCCACCAATAGCCAATCATAATCGTGTGGGGCGTGCGCTTAGAGACAGCCAAGCTTGTTTGACTCGAATTAGCGACTCCTCCTGTAGAACCAGTAAAACCGTCCAATGAGAAGCTCAGAATCAGAGTGGGGTGATCTGACGTTGCATCTTTGGGTCTAGCGATTACATCATGTGTTTCGCTCCTGGAATGATGGAAGCAGGAGGAAAATAAACTGCACAACTACATGTAGCCAGAAGGAAATAAAAAAAATGAGCACATGTATTTTAACAAAAACAGTTCCTGCAACTCTTCGTAATGGTGGTTTACACTACATTTTTTCTCTCTCTCCTATAATAATTAGTAACGTAAAAACAGGCAATGCGGGTGTTTTTGTTCGTTTGTTGTTGTATCCCTAAGACATCATTTGAAACACACTCTTTCACAATGTCTATGTTTAACGCACTGTTATAGTAACATAAAAGCAGAACCCCACAACGGTATTGTAGGAAAATAGGTCAGTGACCTAGGGTAGCACTGCTAAGTTGTCAGTAAAGTTTGGTAAGATTATATAAAGTCCAGCATGGTTGGTGGTCAAGTGTGTAACAATAAGTCTTGTCCGTTTGTTTGCTGGAGTTTGTAAAGTTGGCTAGTCTTGATCCTCAGGTAAAGGAAGGAAAAATGATTCTTTTAAGGATCTATGTTGTGCAAATGTCCATAAACAACCACATGTGAGAGGGTGAAAGGCTCATTTCACAATGAATGACCAGTACAGTACAAGATTGAGTCTGGGTTGCATCAGCATGTACATGAGAAAAGAGAGACTAGTCACAGATCCCCTAAGTGTAAAATAACCACAAACAGTTATGAGGTAGAGGTCACACACTGCTAGTGTTTTATTGGGCAGTTACATACGTGCATTAGGTCAAATACAAATCTGACCATTAGTCATGGCAGCAGACGGCACAGCCAGAGAGACATGGAGCACCCACCGATAGAAAACAAGCCTCAATTCCATGTCCACAAAACACGAGCTTAAATATCCCACGTCGCGGGTATTAAAGACATTCAGTTACCACTTTGAAGATAGCCAGAATTTAGAGGAATACATGTTGCAACCAGGACTTAAGCTTCATAAGAGCAAGTTAACACAATACACTCTGTTACAGATGCAAAGTTACAGAACACACAAACACAGAAAACTGTCAAAGTTCCCTTTAAAGAATCTCCTGTTACATTTTTAGTAACCGTCCTTGTTCAACTTGCATGGTAGATGTTTTTATATCTGTTATCTGGCAATGATAATAAACCCTCAAAACCAAGTGTAACCATACAGCATGAAAGAAAATTAAAGCTCATTATCATTATTATTTTTTTAATCTAAAATACATTGATTACACAAATACATTTTTAATGTCACCTTTGCATCTATGTTAGCAAGAAGCTTTACAACTGAGGTGCAAATGGGCTGCCTCTGATTAACAAGGCTTTTGGTCTTAAATGGACTGAAAGGAGAAATAGAAAATCTTTTTGAAGCGCAGAGCATGTTAAAATGAACTGGAAAAAGAGCTGCAAATAAGACGGGTTTTCTATTTTGCCTCGGATCAAAGACAAAACCTTTCTCTGCAGAGCAACTCTGCTGAAATCAGTCGGTCATAGAAATGCTTGGCAGCAGCTCCAATGAGAGCAGATGAATCATAGCAGGTTGAAAATGCACAGGAAATAAAGTGTAATGTGTTTGACTGCACGAAATCAAAGAAAGCAAAATTGTGCTTGCTTCCCGCACGGTTCAACCTCGGCCTCAAAAACATCCATTGTTCGTTTCCCCTTTGTTGTTTTTTAACCATGAATAATAAAAATACAGAAGGGGAAAACAAAATAATACTTTCAGTGATCCTGATATTATTATGACCCAATGGATTTTTTACAGAAACCACCGTTTCTGTATTTTGAGGTATATTGATTAAATACTATGGAGTATGTGAAGATTTGCCTGTGTGAATACATCTGTTACCACAGCACACTTGTCTTGTAGATGATTATGATGCCAGTGCTAAGCTGACATTATCATTTAAATCTTTATTTCTGTGTTGCATCTTTATGTAATTTCCAACAGTCCAATGGTCCATCTATCCACTTGTTAGGCAAACAAGCGCACTAATTACATAGTTAGAAAAGTTATGTGCAAAATGAACTCATTCTTAAGATCATTTCCCATCCCCTAGAAAAATAGTAAGCATCTTGTAAACACAAAAGGACAAAATACAGATTTTTCTTTTTTCTTTTTTTTTTTGCTTCAAAGTGCACAGACATTAACGCGGCGGGGGGAGGGGGAAGGAAAATTTTGACAATCCAGCAACTTATTTTGAGCATGTGAATGTCACTATTTTTCGATTGGTAAAATGAAGAACTAGTTGGTCATTAAAGCATCAATATTCTTTGGAATGGCTTAAAGTGTTTGCAGTTTGCGGCACTTTTCTACATTAACTTCTTGTAGCTTTTCAATGAGCATCTTCCTTCCCCTTAGCTATCTGAAATAGATACGAGATAAGAGTGAATCCTAACTAGTACATTTTTTTTGATTTTTATTATTCTTAATTCCCTTTGGTTAGAGGAATGCTGGCATACACATTTTAAAGAGATTAGCTAATATTATAATCTTAGTTTGCAAAATTAGCCTGCTAATATGAAACTGTTCATTACAGTGCCTTAAGCAAACTGGGTAATAAGAGGCGCTGCCCTGCCACGAATATCTCAGTATTAAGCATAACTAGAAATCCACAACTCTTAACAAATGCACTGATCGATCAGTATATAACACAAAAAAATAAAACAATTAATGCATAAATAAGCATTTAGCCGAAATGTAGTAAAATAAAACAATATACTCCTAATAAAATGCTTCCATACTGACTCTGTGAGTAGACCTTCAGAGAAATTTCCCAGTAATCTCACGGTCAGGTGTCACATTTTTAAACCACATGTCAGTTAAGTGAAGTTGTCCTCCTTTGGTGGCGAGTTATGGAATGAGATGCGGGGCTGCGAGCAGTACATCCCACACTGACAGATTAATACATCCATATACAGTAAAACATAACGCAGTAATGTGCAGTAAACTTGTTGGACCTCTGATGGTTAGAGCGACACTCTGGCAAGATAACAACAAGGAGATGGAGATCAGTTGCTACACCAATGCCAGTCAGCAATGAAATGGGACTAGGAGGATTGTTTTGGAGGGTGGCGGGTGGGGTCATTTTGGGCCAAGACCTTTAGATGCCCTGGAGAGAAACCGAGGTCCTCTGAGAACAGTCTACAAGGCAAAGAGGGCATCTTCCGTCCGTTCAGTCTTCTTATGGGAGCCACTCGGGGCACGGGCAGGGTGGGAGAGGTTAGCCGGGTTAGGTCCTGGGGGAGATGGCAGAGTGTCTGCAGCCTTAGCTCGCTCCTCCAGGAACTTATCAAATTCTGAAAGAAACAAATTGATTTGTCAGAAACATAGAAGCTGAGGGTCACAGTGTTAAGACTCTCAATCATTCCCACACACATTTGAGCTAACAGAACACACCCATAGGTGTGAATCAACTGACTATACCTTCACTAGTTACCCCTTCTTCAGCAGCATCACCTTTCTATTAAGAAGAAGAAGAAAAAACATGACATAAGACACAAATTTCTATAGAAAACTATCAAGAACTGAGTTAATTAATGTGAGTGTAAAATCGACAACACAAGCGGCACAAGTCAGCTGCCTGTAAAGTTCCCACAAACTCCAAACCGAGTGGCTCATGAAGGATCCGTCTGTCATGCATCCTCCCCACATTTTCCACAACGAGAAACCTTCTAGAGCCCCACCACAGCCACCACATGCACAAGTTAAAGAAGACCATTGCAGCTGCTTTAGGTTAATTATCATTAGCACTGTTTCCACATATGTCTCACCTCATGACAAACAGTTATGTAAGTGATTGCTGGAAATGATTAAGATGAATGATTAAGGTAAAGATTTTAAGTAAAAAGAAAACCAAGGTCACATGTATGCAGTTATAAGAAATGGTTGGATGAAAAGTGCTTTAAGGGTGGAAAAGAGGGAGAAAGAGAGGGTAGAAAAACAAAAATGTTAATCAAGGTTTAAAAAAAAAAGAAAAATTAAAATCTCACCACGTCAGTACAGAGCCACTCCTCTATGTCATCCATGACAGAGGACTGCGATACTGGGATCTATGGAGCAAAGCCATGGACAACAACGAGGGGTAGCAACAAAGCCACACGACAACAAAAACAACGTAACACACGCACACACACAAAAACAAGAATCACCAGAGGCTCAGGAGAAAAGATAAAAAGAAAAACAATAATAATAATAATAAAAAAAATGCTTGAAAGACACACTCAACCTCTCTTGATTCTGTGCCATTATTGTTTTATCATGTGCAACGACCTGCTGCCGAGCACTCCTCTGTATAAGAAGAGGACTTCCCGGCCTGTGTATTGTTCTCATTAACTCTGTACTGCTGACATGGCTTAACAGCTGCCGACTAATGTCACACACAGCCGTGCTAATTATTCCACATCATTAGTTAATTAGCAAATCGCTTGAACGTGATTAAGAGATTGATT